TTTTTAATTTCAGAAATGTATTTGTTGTTTTTGGAAGAATGGAGTGCTACGATACCAAGTTGTTGGTTATTTATGGAATCCAAAACTTTCAAATGGCCACCCAAACCTAAAAATCCGACTCATTTATGCATTAAAGCAATATTACCAAAAGAAGATTGGGATACGATTCATTATACTAGATTTATAGGACCATTTGGTAAGTTTAATGTTAATTTAATATCAATTATTTTATATTCAAATATTTTATTGTATTCTTTATATTATTTTGAAGCTACATATAATGAAGCCAGAGATATTGAAATCCAAGCTGTTGATATTTCGACTAATGATGAAGATGCATTGCAAGCACTTGCAACAGTTAAAGTAACTAACAATAATAAGCCACTTTCTGTAAAACGTGCGATCAATAAACCGCGCCGTCTTTATTCTTCTGACGAAAAAAATCAGAAATCATGTAAGCATTTAAATTCATTTTAAATTTATAAATTAATAAAAATTGTATTTTTTAATATTTTTCTCTTCTAAATATTTACATTTTAATTAATACTATTTTATAATATTTTTTATAGATGTTAAAAATGAAAAACTTCTAAAATCTATAAAAGTAATAGTTTTCCTCATCAAGACGAAGATGAAGATAAAGAATCTGATGAAGATTCAGAAAAAGGTCTAAACTCTCATATAGTAAATCATTAAAAATATTCACTAACTAATTATACTTTAATAATAATAATATTTAGAATATTAATCGGTTCTCGAAATCAACATATAATATATATATATATATATATATATATATATATATTATAATAATAATAATGTTTGTTATTTAATATATTCACATATTTTCTTATAGATGTTCAAAAGAATTTTCAAAAACCTCCAATCCAATATATTCCAAAAAATAAGAAAAGGAAATCATAAGCGAAGTTGCAGCAGGTGCGATGATAAAATTTTGAAGTCCCTGTTTATAATAGAGAAAATATTAGGAATATTAAATATTAAAAATAGGAATTATTTTAAAATAATAAATTTTTAAAATAATAGACTGATATACAAATATAAATTCGGGTATAAAGGGCTCCTATACTTTTATTAAGAATTCTTTACCCGAATTTGTATTTGTATATTAGAGTCCTTTATTTGTAAGATTTTATAATTTTAAAATAATTACTATTTTTAACAATAAATATTTATTTCTAATATTTTTTTATTGTGCGCAGGATTTAAATTTATATTTGTTTGTTCGATAAAATTTAAATATTTAAATTTTGAAAAAATGCACTTAATTAAATTTTTCATAGGTGTATCAAACAGTTTTAATAATAGTGAAGAAAACAACAATTTGATAACAGTTCCTGAAAGTCTACCTCTGGAATATGGAGATCTCTTTTCTCAGGATTCATTTCTAATATTAAAAGAATTTGAGAATGAGCCAATAAACAATAATGTTAAAGAATATAATAATGAAACACAAGATATGTTTGAAGTAAAAGATGATGTAAATAATACAAATCAAACATCGACGCGACAAAATGAATTTGGTAAGTTAAAAAATACAGAAATTTGGAATAAATTTATAATAATATTAATTTTTTAAATATTTTTTAACACAATAATTTTCTTTGTAGATTCATCTCAATTGGATAACAAGAAAATATATCAATTAAAAGAGAAACCAATTATTCGTAGTATCGTTGAAACCAGTAAGCTTCATACATTCAATAAATATTAATAATATGATGTAATGTGAATTACATATATATGACTTATAAATTATTCTGTTATTTTGATAGAATTGTCGTACCTCTAACAGTTAATATATCAAAACAAATTTCAGATATTAGGCTCGATAAAAATTATGCACATCCACAAACCAATGTTGAAGGACGAAACAAACAACATACACATGAACATCATGACTTATGTTGCAGTAAATACAATTACAAATTTTTGTCTGTTCAATAATTAAATTGTCTTATTATATCTGATTTTTTTATAGCACCATGTCGTACAGATATTCAAGCAATTAAAAAAGCAATAAATTCTATTTATCTTCTTGTATTGGATATAAGTGAAGGGCCTCGCAATGATACCAATAATCTGACCTTAAACTTGCCTATTACGACAGAAAAGGAATTAAACGATATTGAAATATTGCTGAAGGAAGATGCTGTAGCTCGTTCACAATATGTAAGTGTTTTGTTATTGTATTTCAACATTTATTTATTTTAGTGTGTGTGTACTCTAATTAAACTATGTCTTGTTAATTTATTTCTAATTAATTTTGGCATCAAAAATGTTATTACATATTCTTAATCAAAATATTATTGCATTTTACAGAAAAAAATGATTAAAAACATTGGTGGTACAACGTTTGAAAAGCATGTACGAAATGCTTTAACTGCAACCTTGATTGATCAAATGGCATATAAAATGGACAGGACAAAAGAATACGATAAGCGTAAAAGAAATGAAGTTTATTGATTTGATAATTGGTATCTATCTTTTTTGTACTATTTATTTATCATTTTCTTTTAGAGAGTATGTTTTAACAAATCGCTTGGATATTTATATCTTATTAATTTTTTATGAAAACGAAATGTCTTATTTTTGATTAACATATTTTATCTATACTATTTCTATAATCATTAATAATACTATTTTAAATTTCCTTTTTTATATACATTTGATAATAGTTTACTGTATATAAAGTTAAATTTTTACTATACATCACTTTAAATAATTGTTTATAACGACAAATACATTTTTAGACCGTAAGAATATATTCAATATTAAATCAGTCAATAAGGAAACTTAATTTTAGCATGTTCATTTATTATCAATTATACATCATAATACTTAATTATGATGACAGTATGACTAAAATATGATTTGATAATAGAATTTTCTCACAATTTTTAATACAAACTTTATAAATACTGGCATTGCTGTTATATACAAAATTTTTGTTTAAATGTTTATTAGTATAATTTGGAAAGGTTCAGAATATGATAATCGAGTGCTTTATATATTCTAAAATATATGTGTGTTGTACTTATAATTTAATTTTCTTATTTCAGAAACCATAATTAATTGTCGAACTGATTCTACGATTGATAAAATACAAGCCGTTATTAAATCATGGTTACAACATGCTGGCGATCGTCTTCCTAAAGAAGGAACAAAAAAAATAAAAATAATTTAAAATAATTTTTCGTAAATCTAATTTTACTTTACATACATTTTATAATTATATGTAAAAACAAAAATGTTTTTTTAAATGATTACTATTAGTAATTTTCACTTCAAACACATTTTAGTTACGTGAAAACAAAAATATTTTATTTTTTTTAAATAATTACTAATGTTTTTTAAATAATTATTATTATATGAACATTATATAATATATTGTTAATTATTATTAGTGATTTTCACTTCAAACACAAATTTCCAGTTATGTGAAAACAAAATATTTTATTTTTCTTTAAATGATTATTAATGTTTTTTTAAAAATAATTATTATTATATAAACATTATATAATATATTGTTAATTAATATTTTAATATTATTTATATTAAAAAATATCAAAATAATATAAATAATAATATAATAAATAATCCAATGATTTATTTATTATTTCAAAGTAGCCATCATTGAAAAATATGATACTGAAATTAGTTTAATATATCTCTAATATAAAATGGTTTGTTTTAAATACTAAAGTCTCTAAAAATCGATTGAATTTAATTCTAGCGCATAGAGTTATCGCATTTAATGGCTATTAAACAAATTTCAGTGTCACTTTTAAAAAGCCATTTAATAATATAATTTTATGTAAGCAGATGACAATTCAAAAGAAGCTTCTGGTGAGATATTTAGCAAGCTTTCCAAATAAGGGAAGGATATATGAACGACAATATGAATATAAGGATCTCTGTCCTTCATTATCAAAACCTCTCTTTGAGGAGCTCACTAAATATCTCACCAAAAAGTTTGCATTTTTTTAGTGTTTTGAACATCTTCGAATAGATGTCTTATTAACATCATAAACGTGAACTCTTAAAGATATCTAATTTTAGATATCTAATTAAAGATATCTAATTTTAGATATCTTTTTGACATCTACTTTAGATATCTTTTTGACATCTAATTTTAGATATCTTTTTAATATCTAATTTTAGTTATCTTTTTAATATCTAATATAAGATATCTTTTTGATATCTAATATAAGATATCTCAAAAAGTTATCTGTTTGATAACTATCGGAAGAAGTCTGTTTTCCCTCTCAATGTGGCGCATAAGAGCTCTTTCTGATATCATTAAGTTATCTTTTTAAAGAAATTTTGGATGTCCAAAACGTGAATGAGAGAACATTAAGAGTTCTTTTTGTTAACATTTTGCTGTATGGGTTATTTTTCACCTTAGAATACTTTTAAAATCTCTACATATGCAGTAACTCATTGTTAAGTCTCTTTGTACATTTCACGTTTTCAATTTAAATTGTTGATTCTGATTGGCATGTACATAATTTCAGATGTTTTATTGTAATTTTGAAAAGGACCACAGCCCGTATGGTCGAAACGTCAATAAATATAGTTTAACAAATCTATAGACAGCCAGTGTAGTCATTTTAATATCTACTACCTTAATATATATATATATAATATATATTTATATCTATATTTTAAAACTTTTATATTGCTAACAAAAGTAAATATTCAGGGCATTGTTTTTCAATAATGATTAGTTGATTTATATAAAAATGATGATATAATCTCTAAAAACTTAAAAAAAAACCTTTAAAAAAAAAAGGTAAAAAAAGACTCCCAGTTAACGGCATGCCAGTAACAAAAAATTACCCATTGCAAACCCATGTAGAATTCTATAAAAAATTAATCATTGCAAATCCATGTAGAATTCTATAAAAAGTTAATTATTGTAAACCCATGTAAAATTCTATGCAGAATAAACCATTGCAAACCCATGTAGAATTGTATGAAAATTATCCATTGTAAATCCATATAGAATTTAACTACAAAAGTAATGATAAAAAACATCAACAATTCCGCCAAGTAAAATAGAAACTTGTACCACTAGAAAATGCAAACATATATAGAGTCGTATAATGAACTAGTAATTAATATAATAGAAACAAAAAATTAAGAAGGCTCGTATTATATCACGCAATAAAAAGTAAAATTAATGAAAGACCAACTTACGAGCGACTGTTAGGAGTAATAAACAAATCTCAAATTTATTATAAATCATTCTTAACATTAATATAATAGTAAATTAATATAAAATTAAAAAAATAAAATTTTAGTTAAAAAAACTGGCGCGCTGCTAAGTTTCAAATTATAATGCACCTTAAAGTTAATTTATTACAAAACTTAATTTAATCCACATAACTTAATGTAATTACAAAATATATTTTAACTGCAATAAATTTTAAAGTAACAAATAATTTAATTTTAATATCATTAGGATATTATTTAACAGCGCGCTAAATTTTTAACTAAAATTTTATTTTTTAAAATTTTATATTAATTTACTAGTGTATATGACTCTATATATGTTTGCAATTTTTCACTGGTACAAGTTTACTACTTTAACTTGGTGCAATTTTTTTTATATCATTACTTTTGTAGTAAGATTCTATATGAATTTACAATAGATAATTTTTCATACAATTCTACATGGGTTTGCAATGGTTTATTCTGCATAGAATTCTACATGGGTTTACAATTATTAATTTTTCATAGAATTCTACATAGGTTTGCAATGATTAATTTTTCATAAGATTCTACATGGATTCGCAATGGGTAATTCATTCAACATCACATTCAGTATTCATTATTATTTAGTCAAAGTTTATTTTCAAAATGAATAAGTTTTCTTATAAAAAACTGGTCGATATGTATCTTATTTGAAAGCTAGATGTAATGAAAGAAAAGAAAATATATTTTACTTCAAAAATCATTCTACTGTCGAAATGATTACTTTACACGGATTTATTGACAAAATTAGTTTATTTTTATGTCTTTCATAATCACAGTTTATCAATCTTTGGGAACACTTTTTATACTTTTTATGTTTTAATTGTTAAATTAAAAACTAAGTTACTTTCTCAAAAATAATAGTGTTTAAACTATGATATTTTTTTCGCTATGAATTTTTTATTATATATAATAACTACTTAAAACTCATCTTTGTTCTAAATATCATTAAAATAGAAGATTTCATTAGCAAATTACTTTAAGAGAACAACAAATACGAGTAACATAACTGTTTTCAAATTATTTAAAAATAATGTTATTTTAATATAATTTTGATTTAAAACTTAACTACAAAAACATTTAATTATAAAATTATAGAATTATAAAAAATATGAAAAATTAATTATATAAATTATTATATAATATGTATAATATATAATGATTTTTTCTGTTATTTTCTCCAAACAAAACTGTTTTAAAATCATTAAAGAAGTCAACTTTGTCCTTAAAGAAACATTTACTGACTCTGGGTTTTCTTATTATGTATATTCTTGTTATGTATGCATATGTATATGTAAATTGTGTACAAAATTAATGTAAAAATTATTCTAATGCTACGTATACACTTCGATACTTTTGTACCTAGATCAAAGCTAATTGAATATATAATATATATATATATATATATATACACTAAGTGTCGACGTGTATACAGCGCTTGAAACGCTGTACACATTGTTATATATTTGATTTAGACTCGATCTAGAAACAAAGATGCCCAGGTGTATACGTAGCATAATAATCATCAATTTGTTACACGAATACTACGAAAAAGTAATATATTATTTAATTTATAAACAATACCTGTTTTCCTTATCAATTCTGGTTCGTCGTATTACTTTGCGATCACTATAATGAACACAATTTGGACATAACCATACTGACAAATTAGTATCTAACATTGCAGCTAAAACATTTGCATCAGTTGCCCATGCAATATTTTGTGCCATTGCAGCTGAAATGTATATTTAAGAAAATAAATTATTATAATATGTGATATAATAAAAGGCCAACTTAACGAGCTTATATGATATTAATTGAAAAATTTTTTTATTGATTTACGTCATAATATACAAAGTTAAGATAAACGTTTCGACTGTACGACAGTCTTTTTCAATATCATGCTAATATGTCAAAAAATTAATTTAGTCATATCGACCTTATTATAAATACAACATTTATGAGATTATCATATGACGAACGCAGTACAAAATTCATGTTTGTTGGCTTGAGTTAGAGCGTCAGATTTATGTATGCCATGCTGTTATATTATGTAACGACATTTTTTGTCACGAACATAACACTTTTTTTAAAAAATTATTTCTTTTTACTTAACATAATCACAATGTGTACTTTTTAAAAAACAAACAGATATAGATTTGTTTTTTAAAAAGTACACATTGTGATTATGTTAAGTAAAAAGAAATAATTTTTAAAAAAGTGTTATGTTCGTGACAAAAATGTCGTTACATAATATAACAGCATGACATACATAAATCTGACGCTCTAACTCAAGCCAACAAACATGAATTTTGTACTGCGTTCGTCATATGATAATCTCATAAATGTTGTATTTATAATAAGGTCGATATGACTAAATTAATTTTTTGACATATTAGCATGATATTGAAAAAGACTGTCGTACAGTCGAAACGTTTATCTTAACTTTTGTATATTATGACGTAAATCAATAAAAAATTTTTCAATTAATATCATATAAGCTCGTTAAGTTGGCCTTTTATTATATCACATATTTTAATTGTATACGAGCCGAAGTTTAATTTATAAAATATATATATTAAATTATTATAATCTTAATTGATATTATATTTATAATTATATATTTAATATATAATTATAATTTAATATATTTATAATAAATAAATTATTATTAATAATCATATCCAATTAGAAATAACATATTTCTACGCACGCACGCACGCACGTATGCATACATATACAGGTATGCCATAGGAAGTTGCTCAAACTAATTTGATCTTATTCCGTAACACATACGAGTATCAGGAAAAATAAATAATATTTAATAGAAATACAGTCCATAGTTTTATTGGGAATACTATTCTGTACAATAAAAAATTTAATTTTATTTGATTTTTATAAAAAAGTAGTAAAAATCAGACATACTAAACATACATGTTTTTGAAGTATATATATTGTTAAGTTAGGTTTGAATAAAATCATTTTTTAAATGGCTTTTATATAAAATTTTTAATAAACAATTATTTCTTATACCACTAATCATTTTTATAAAAATTTTTGCAATACGGTCCTGAATAGTGCATAAAATTATCGATTATTTTGCAAAAAATGCATATAAAGTTATTTTAATAGATTAAAAATAAATTAAAATTGATTTAGAAAAATAAAGCACTGTTAAAAGTAAATAAATTTTCTAAAAATAACTGAAATAGGAACAGGCATTCAGACGATATGTGAAACAAGCAAAGCGGGGCGATCAAAATTTGTCAATTGTTGAAGATAGTCCAATATAGATGACCGAAACAAATAAAGGATCGAATACCACAATCAAGATTCTTATTTTTTACACCGCCAATCGCGCCTGGCTCTTATTTAATCTGTTCCTTTTAAATATTATTATCATAAAAGAGCCTTACTCAATTAATTTTAAATTTTCTAATTTTTTTAGTGTTTTGTTTGAAACTTTATGCATTTTAGATATAGATAGATAGATAGATAGTTTATTCCGGATTCCCCTTGAAGTTGCCGGGGCAATTACAAAGTTCGCCAAACCCCTTACAATCTCCTTCTCTCTATCCATTTCATACAATAATTATTACAATTTACATTATATACATATTTCCAGTCCGTATCCAACTATCCCTCCTATCTCTGTCTGACAACTTTTGGTCTCCTCTCTTCTTCCTTCTCCTCTGCCTTCTCCTTTTTCTCCTCCTCTATCTTTTTCGTAGATATCGAGATGAATATTTCTCAGCTGTTGTCTCCTCGTCAATACCTCTCTTCCGCTCTCCATCTTTCCTTTTTTCTTCAACAGAAATCAAAAAACAAAAAACGAATGCCTTATCCTACTCTCCTGCCTCCCCTAATTCCTAAACTTTATCCTTTCTTCTCTCTCCTTATCCTTCCCTCCATACTCATTCCCTTATATACATGCATAAATCCTTTCCTCCTTCCTTCTCTCCTGGCCATTTTGCAACTTTACAATTTTTTCTAAACATCCTACCCCCCCCCTCATCTCTTCCCTTTCCCACTCCTTTTCTTTTCCCTTTTCTCTTCTTTCTTCTTCACCAAAACTGTACTATTTCCCGTCCTCCTCTCTCTCCTACCCTTCTCCTATTTCTTTTTCACTTCCCCCCCCCTCCTCTCTCTCTCTTCTTCACTAGCCTCTCTCTCCTCATTTCAAATCCATTCTCTTCCTTCCACCCACATACTCCCACTAACTACCACCTTCTTTTCTTTCCTCTTTCTACCCTTGCTCTCTCTGTCTTCCTCCACCTAATCCTCCTTTCTTCTTTCGTCAAATTTCCCCATTTACCCCTATTTCCCATCTTCTTCATATCATCTTTTCTTTTTTAATAACTCCTTCTTGTCCCTTTCATTCTCCTTTTCACTATCACCAACCTTTCCTCTCCCCTCCTTATGCTGCGCACCTTGTATCCTGTCTCCTTCTCACACACCCTCGTACACTCACTCTTTCCCTCTCCTTGCCTCTATCCTTCTTCACCTTTTTCTCACGCTATCTTCACATCCTTACTTTGCTTACTCTGCATATCTTGTATCCTGCCTCTTCTTTTTACACCACCTTTTACTCTCCCTTCTCTTTCTCCTTGCTGTCACTCTCCTTCACCCTTCCTTTGTACTATCTTCTCTTCCTTGTAACCAATAGTTCTCTTTCCTCCTCCTTACGCTACATACCTTGCATTTTATCTTTCTTCTTACACCGCCTCCTCCACTTTTCGTTGCCGCCGCTATACCTTTCACCTTTTCTTCACTCTATCTCGCCCTCCTTGCGCTGCACCCTCGTATCCTGCCTCCTCTTGTTATACCACTTTGTATACCTTTTCCTCCATTTCTCTTTGCCTCTGTTCTTCACTTTACACACCTTATCACTCCTCTCCTTTTCTACTTCGTATCTCATACCTTTCTTCCTTCTCCTCGTCTCTCTCTCTCCTCCCTCTCTCTCCCCCCTCACTCCCTCTTTTCTGCTGTCTCCTTTACTCTTCTTATCACCTCTCAAACTCTATTCCCTTTTCCTTGCCGATCTTACCTTTTTACTACCACTGTTCACTGCGCACCTTCTCTCACTTGTCTTTTCCACTGCCTAATGCGTATATCCTTTTTCTGCGTGCGCCTTTTCTCTTCTTTCACCACGTGCCTTTTCCTCGCCTTGCGGTACCTGTGGCTCCCTCGCTCGTTTGTCTAACCGCTACCTCCATTCCACCTTCCTTATCTCCGCTTCCGTTTTTGTACTTTACCGATCCTCTACCTACACCGCACTTCCCTTCTTTCCTCTCTCTCTCGTCCTCCCCTTTGCCTTTTTTCCAGAATCTTCTTCTTTATCACACTTTACCCTTTTATCACAATTCCAACAATTCCCCTTTTTTCTTCTTCAGCCTCCTCTCTTCTTTTCTCCTTCTCGCTTCTTCATCCTTTGCTTGTGCGCCTCCTCCGTGCTTACCACGTGTCAACTATTCTAAATTTTCCATATCTCTGTTTCTCCGATTCTCATCCTCCTTTACCATTTTTCTTATCTCTTCTCTCTTCTCTTCCCTTCTTTCCTTTTATTCCTCGACCTCCATCTCATTTCTTCTTCCTTTACCTTCTTTCTTCTTTCTTCCTATCTTTTATCGCTGCTCTTTCTCCACCATGTGTCAACTGCTCCATTGCTTCCATCCCGTTTTCTGTGCTCCTCCTTTCATCTTTCTTATTCCAGCTTTTCTTTCTTTTTTCCATTCTCTCCTCTTTCCCTTCACTCCTACCTCCACCCTTTACTCTCTACCACAATACAGTCTGTTTTCCTCCACTCTTATCTCTCAAAACTACTTTAAAATCGGAGCACACAAAACCTCCGTCTTTTCACTCGCCGCCATCTTGCCTCCTCCTTTATGCATTCTATATTTGGTATAAATTGCTCTATATTCATTACACTTTTTGTCTAAAAAAACAAAGTACTTAATAAGATAGACACATTTTTTTCGTCATCAGACGACTTATTTTGATCTGCGCAATTTGATTCTGAATTGTGTCAAAATAAAGCTACAGACACATACAATCAGATAAATGATCATTAATTGTAAGCCTCTTTCTGAGATCGTAGAAGAGAAAGATAATCATTTAATTTGAGCAACTTTTATGAGAAACCTTTAATATGAAAAGATTTTAATTTCCTTAGGCAAATATTTCTGAAATTAAGCAAATATAAAAAATTTTTAAATAGAAATTGTATTTTAAGGGGGAAAAAGTTGGCGCTACTAATTTTTTCCTAAAGAGCGATTTTCAAAGTCATTTGAAGAACATTTTCCAAATGGGACTATCTCAATTTTTTGTATATATTGATCCCTCATAATTTTTACTATAAAAGTTACAAGAGTAAAATGGAGAAAAAGTGAATAGTTTACGAAATATTTTATACATTAATGTGATATTATTTTAAACTATAAAATATTTCGTAAACTGTTTATTTCAGATTATTTTACTTTAATATTTTTTTGCATAAAATAATGAGAAATTAAAGAAGGTGTAAAGAAAATATATAGTTGTTTTTAAGAAAAAGTATAAAGCTGACAGTTGCAAATTACATACATTTTTTATATTTTTACATTTTTTAAAAACAACTATTTGTTTTCTTTATATTAATTTCTTGTCATTATTTTGTGCATATAAGTATTAAGATCATCAGAAAATGAACATTTTATAAAATATATATTCCATATTTTATGTAAGATTATATTAAATTACAATATAAAATATCTCGTTAACTATTCTCTTTATGACCATCTTACCCTTATAATTTTTATAGAGAATATTGAAAGAAATTACTTAAAATTAAAAATAAGGTGTTTCAGTTTAAAAAATCTAAATTATCTTTAAATAAACTTGAAAATTATCTTTTAAGAAAAAATCAATAGTGCTTTACCCTCAAAATTTTTACCCTCAAAATCCTAAAACTTCTATTCTAAACCTTTTTTGTAATTTACTTTTACTTTTAGAAATATTTGCTTGGAGAAACTAAAATGAAACCTTCTCTCCCTCCCTCTCCCTCTCTACCTCTCCTTTCCACCCTCTTCTCCTCCCTTCCTCTCCCCCTCTCCTACTAAAAAATAAGTGGAAATTTTAACATTTTAAAGTTTAAAAATTCTCATTTTTAAATAATATTTTTAAAATAATATAGGAGACAAAAGTTTTTGAATATCTTGTAACATTCTAAATTTTTAAACATCTTGTAATATCAATAAAAATACAAGTTAACGCTCATGTAAAATTTAAAATTAATAAAACATAAATAGTAGGCCAAATAAACGAGCAAAAATAATTTAGATGTAAGGATAATTAAAAATTATTTATTTATAATATAAATGTAGACGTTTCGACCTTACTAGGTCTTTATCAATATAATTACAAAACCGCATCTTGTAATATATAATATATACATAATTCTCACCTATTTTGCAAATTCTTCCAAACCTGTAGTTCTTATCGCAATTAAAAATAGATCTTTGTTGACATCTATTAATGCTAATTGTCGATCCTTTATGCTAATGTAACTTAATGCCACTTGCATTACATTGTGCATATGCGAATATGATTGACTTTCTCTCTCTACTATCGGCTTGTTGTAAGATATTTCTAAGATATGAAGCACTGAAAAATAAGTAGAAAAATAAGTAGAAACCTTATGACATTTAAACATTTTTATTTTTAAATATTTCCAATATAATGTAGAAGACAAAAGTTCTTGAACATTTTGTAATATATTTTTTTATTTTGTTTAACATTTTGCAATATTATTTTGTAATATCTTGTATTTAATACGCGCGTATGTGTATGTGAACCTACCTACTTGACCATTTATTAATAATACTGCTTGTTTACAAACGCCCTATTGGGCCTATTGGGCGTTTATAAACAAGCAGTATGCTGAGCAGACTTTTTAAAATTTACTTATGTTCCCAAAAATACTTTTGCAAGCATTTTATATGACTTCTTTCACGCGTAAATTTCAAAATGTCTTTTTTGCCAAGTGGCGATATTTCATGTACGCAAGGAATGTAAGCTCGTGGTAATTACAATACTCATGTCATGTCTTATGCTGTTACACAAAGAACACTTTTGATATGACGACACTTATGAGTCTACTTTTTAATAGAATTACTCATACAAATGCTATCATCTAGCTCAAAAAGAAATCAAACCTATGTCCATACGACTTAGGTCAGTAGGATTTGCTATTGACCGCATTATCGGACCTCAATAAACGATCAAGAAGGACAGAGAAATTACCAGCAATTTAACAACCAAAACAAATAGCAACATATCGGTTAACATTTTCGATCGTCAAACCTTCATATAGTTTAACAGTTACAATAATAAACACAACTGAACTAATAATACCAGAATAATAACGCTTATAAGTATTGACGCAGTAGGTCCGAGAGAGAATTAGAAAAGGGAAGAGGAAGAAGAAGAGAGGTAGACGAAGGAGAAAAGAGAAATAGAGAGAGGGGAGGGAGGGGTGGAAGGGGGAGAGGGGGGTATGTGTGGGCGCATGTAAGAGTTATGTCTGTATGAACGTTTGTAGATCTGGAAGAATTTATCGTTTTGGGGAGATTTATCGTAAAGCAGGCGGCGGTGCTAAGAAGAAGAACTGTTTTTGCACGCTACATTTTTTAAAGTTCTGGACCATGACATCTCCTTACGAAATCCGAAAAATTTCATGCTTCGTGGTTGATGCGAGTTATCATGGACTGCATTGGAAGAACGGAATCGTTGAGTACAACATGGTAAAACGATTGATTGAAACAGCTATGATTCAACATGATGAAATGCAGTGTACCGTATACGTTAAGGGACGCCACAAAGGAGAATGGCTAGCCGATACGTTTGACGTGAGATAAAATTTAATTATCGAGAATTTGGATGCTGATTACAACGCTATTGAGTCTCTAAATAATTTAGATGTTAAAAATACTATGCGATGTAGAAAACACGTGTAAGAATTACATATTACAAAATGTATTCAAAATATTCAACTGGCAGTCCTAACACCAAAAATAATTTCAAGGTTTGGAAAACTAAATTATGTAAACATTAATATGTTTTATCATTTATTTCCTTTTCCCAATCCTTTCCTCGCGAATCGTTTCTAAGAATTCTTTTTATCCGTACGCCATTTCCGTTCTCCTCATAGCGCATTAATTTCACATCACATTTGCCCCCACTACTTTTGGAAAATGAGCGTCATGTATACTCGGTTAATTTTTATACGATCAAGTTAACCGCTCGTACTGACAATCCATGTTCCACAACATAGAAAAATGTACTTCACCGAAAGAAGCAGCAGCAACGGCTTGGGAAGACGTATGAATTATTACGTGCCAAATCATGATAAAACTACATCGTATGAGAACAAATATGATGCGTCACTTTTGTTTAACTAACAAGTAATGTACCTACCTTACCCAAGTGTTACACTCCGATTTTTTTCAAATTTGGTTGAAAAATATTGAATTTTCTATCTTTATCTTTTTATTTTTTTTCTATTCTTATAGATATAACAAAAATAATGTAACATGTAGAAGCTTTTTGGATTGCAAATTATGAATGTAAAGTAAAATTCGTAAAATTATGTTTACATAACAAAATATTGAAAAAAAATAGCAAAAAGATAGAAAAAACAATATAGAATAGAGAATTGAAAATGTTTCCGTTGCTCATTACATATACAACATTATTGACACACACACACACTATATACATTTTTTTTTAATATTATTATATAACATACTAATTATCTATATATAGCATATTATATATTATTTATTTATTTTTTATTATATTAAATCTATTTTTTTGTTTTATATTTATAAATAAATAATATATGTTATATATAAATAATTAGTATGTTATATAATAATATTAAAAAAAAATGTATATAGTGTGTGTGTGTGTGTCAATAATGTTGTATATGTAATGAGCAACGGAAACATTTTCAATTCTCTATTCTTTATTGTTTTTTCTATTTTGTTGCTATTTTTTTTCAATATTTTGTTATGTAAACATAATTTTATAAATTTTACTTTACATTCATAATTTGCAATTCAAAAAGCTTCTACATGTTACATTATTTTTGTTATACCTATAAGGATAGAGAAAGAAATAAAAAGATAAAGATAGAAAATTCAATATTTTTCAATTTCAAATTCAATATTTCAATATTTCAATATTTTCAATATTCAAATTCAATATTTTTAAATATTCAAATTCAAATTCAATATTTAAAGGTCTATGAACTACTCGTAAAACTGCATATGGGCACAAATAAAAAAATACGAGTCAAATATTTTTGATAGTACTACATGTGTACCAAATATGAAAAAGATCGGAGTGTAACACTTGGGTAGGGTTACTTGTAAGTTTTATTTTTTTACAAATAGTATTTCTTAAACTAAAGTATTACACATATAAAAGGCTAATAAGAGCAGAAGTAATATTACGGTTATAAAAACTAATTTATTACATTTAATCAATATGTACTGATAGAAACAATAAAGTTTAAATTAATATAAAATTATAAAAATAAACTCGAAAGTTAAAACAAATGAAAAAGCGAACGTTTCGATCCAATTTTTCGGATCTTCTTCGCAGTACACAAAGCAAATTAAAATCACCAAAGTCTAAATGTTTAACGTATAAAAGTCTAATAAACATATTTAAACGCGGTTACATCAGTAAACGAAATAAAACGTCGTAAGATTAACATTAAGATGATTCTCACTAAGCCATTACATTTACGTTACTGTGGAAAGCGATCCTCTTTAGTTTTCTGACTACGAGGTTGGCAGGTGTTAAAATATAAAACATTAATCGCATCATATATTTATGATATGACAGTATTTTAATTGTAACAGTAACAAAAGTAACGCTAGTGTAATCCTCATGTCAGTAGAACGACTCAGAGGAAACTAAACTAATTTCTTAAACTAAGTTCTTAAACTAATTTTTTTTATTTCTAGCATTTCATTGAAGCATCGTGTGATTCGTATACTAGGAGCATTTACAGTTACGCAATTCAAATTTCTTGAAATTGGGTAACTGTAAATGCTCCTAGTATACAAAAGTGGGTTTATCAAGTTACGTGGAGATTGTCATAAGAGATCATCGAAAAAAGGAACTGATAATATCTCTCGAAATATGGAAGAGGCTCTACGAGCAACGTCTCAATATTAAAAATTTCCTTCGGAATGACTCTAAAAATGACAGTTTTATAACCACTAACAGTGAGAGTCCATATAATTAACGATGCCAAACTTATAACCCTCCCCTGCCCACGCGTATACTTTATTGTAGATGTGTGATTGAAAACTGAAATTAAAAATCTATGAGGAACGTCGTTTCGCGTGGAAAAATGTATGTATAAAGTTTTATTAATTAGATTAATTTTGTAAATACCTTTGTAATTAATGACAAGCGCAGATTAAAACCTTTTGGAGGTTACTCAGAGTCACGACCTTGACAACATATGTCAAAATCAAGATAATCAAAGGTGGCTCCCCTAAGGTGCATAATTACCCGCGATGCTAGGGACCGTGAGGGAAATAGCGCTTAGAAGATAAAGAAAGTTGTTATGACGAGGGACACATAAGAAAGAAATAACGCAAGATGCACGAAGAAAAGAGATGTCATGAGAGAAGAGAGAAATAGCACGAAACGCATGCGAAAGAGAGAAATGTCGCGAGAGAAGACAGAGATAGCGCGAGGTGCAGAATCGTCGCTCACTGTTCAGCTACGTTGTAATTCTTCCTAGAAAAAGCACTGAGAAAAGTGATTGAATCGTCATTTATCATGAGAGAGAGGAAAAAAACCGCGAGGGCGACCGATTATCGGCTCTCACCGTAATGCAATACACTGTTTATATCCCGCGAAAAATATTTCCCGACGCGTTCGCCGAGACAGTGATAAGCGTCCCCCACCCGCGTGATATCAGCCCCCTTGCTCGCGAGGTACCTGCTCGATCCGCGTCCCACTTGGAATCCCATGGATTATAACCAGAGTTGGAAAAGTTACTTTGTAAAAGTAACTAGTTACAGTTACAGTTATTTCATTGAAAAAGTAACTAATTACAGTTACAAATTACCGATTTTAAGAAATAACTCGTTACAGTTACAGTTACTCAAAAAATAACGAATCGTTACTTTTTAGTTATTTTTTAAAAATAATTATACATTATTTTAAATATAAGAAGCTTACATTTTATGCACAATTACAGTCAAATATTTAAAAAAATTCTTGAATGTAATAATTGATCAATTTGTTTGCGACTTTGCGATTACCATCAATGTATGAATGATCTTTATATACAACAGTAACAATAGTTAGTAACTTACTAAATGGTAATCGCAAAGTTGCAAGCAAATCGACCATTATATTTAAGAATTTTTTTAAATACTTGACTGTGATTGGTCGATTTTAATTATGTATTATATTATTTTATGTACACTAAATGAGAATTTTAGGTAAAAAATTAAATCATATGAAGATCCATATGCTACTATTATCAGAATTTAATAACAATATAACGGCTCGGCTACCATATTTGAACGATACTTTTAGCGCATGTTTCCAAAAAAAAGTAATTGTTAAAA